GAAGCAAACCGTTTGGTTCTAATGCGTGGAATATCGACGACAAAGAGGTGAAGATCCTGCATTAGAAACCGTGTGATATAGGTGTCGTAAAAGGCGACAGAGGAAAACTAAAACAAAAGATGGACAACAGCGTCTTACTGATAGCAAGACAAAATAATAAAAAACTGCTGTTGCCAACCCTCCTGCCAAGTGTGGCAACAATGGCAAAATTCTCCCTATGAGGCAATTTATGGGAGTCCTATTTTAAGTAGTGGACTTTTATAGCGTGTAGTGGAAATACACCCCTTCATAAGTCCACTGCTGAACATAGGCCTCCCTCAAGGTATGCCACAAAACACGGTTCCTGTAACTAGCGGCACGAAAGTCTAGCGGTGACCGTTATTGCGCATAAGTCGCGCTGATTGGTTTATTACGAATAAGTCGCGCTGATTGGCTCTCCAGTCGGATTCGTGCAAATCAATTCTTACGGCATTCTCCACGTTTCGTTCAGCGCTAGATTTACGTGCCGCGAATTGTACCTGCATGCATTCATCGACTTTCTGCATATCATATTAAATCGCTTAGATGGAGTGAAGTGAAGTAGAGGACAGTTAACGTGTTCTAAAAGAAAGGAATCGCTTGAAGGTTTTGTGCATATTGGTAAATATAAGAAAAGTATATTTTAATCCTTTAATCTGATCACATACATATAATTCAATACTTAAACGCGGCGAGGAGAAGAAAAAACAGCTGCGAATAAAATATAGATGCATTCCATACATTGTGAAACGTTATAAATCTGTAGGTATTATAAGCTTTATCTTAATGGACGTCTTGGTTGCAACGTAGAATTATTCGCGTGGAGGCATTGTTGGGCACGAGATATCGTTATGGACGTTCGTACAACAACGGAATGATGGATACAACTATCGTTGGAGAATAGCCGGTGGTGCTGTTGCGTTATTCCATTAGTAGTCACGTCAAGGGATTTCCTAATATTATTTGTTGTCTGGGATAATGTAGCTATCGGTTTAGGCATCTAATAAATATTTTATATTCAACTAAGGGAGACAAAACCGCACAAGGTTTCACCTGATATTAAGGAGTCTTGTGCACTAAGGGGCTGTTAAAACAGCATTGGTTTTGATTTAACAATTCGTCTTTTTGACGAATCATTTTGATCAACTCCAGTAAACCATGATTCAGTTTATAAAATAATTCGAATATCTTTTACGATTACTTATTCGTATTTGGTATATAATGTAGGTATTTCTTTAAAAAAGATAAAGTAAAGTAAAGTTACTGTATATGTCCCACACCTGGGCACAGGGCTTCATTAATTTCTTAGAGGGTTATAGGGCAAGGAAGTGTCTACCGGGTTGCCCTAATGGCGGACTTCACATGACTTCGAAATATCTTTTTTTTAATTTCAGACATGCTGGTTTCCTTACGACGTTTTCCTTCCCCGTTGAGCATGTGGCAGCTCAGGGTCAGCAATTTCAGAGTTACGCGCAGTTGTTAATTGTATTTTGATGCTGATTTATCATATACCATTATCCTATTAAAGTCCATAGCTAAATATTTGTGTCATCCATAGATTGCCACATAAAAGGGATATTTGACATAGTTGCCACGTTTCGTTGATTTACTACATATTAGGCGGCCTTTCTTTAAAATGTAAAAAAGATATCGTACCGTCCGTGCCTGCAATGGAACTACGCACTTACATAGACACAACCGCGGGGCAATAATTAGCTTCATGGATTTATATAGACGGCCAGTGTGCAGCGAGGCTAAATATAGAATTACTGTTTAAATATTTTCGGTCCCAACACCGCCTCTGATAATAAATCGTGGGTGCTTGACACTTAGTATAATTTAAGTTTATTGTTTTTTGTCGTGCTGTTAGAATTTTCTGTTTCAAATTACTATTTTGATTGCATGAATTTAATATGCTTTTACTCTTACTATGTACGCTTTCATTGTTATGAGTGTGACCAAGCAAGAACGGAGATAATGTTTTGGTCATTCAGAAATACGTTTGGTGTTATGAAGTACACAGTGGAATATTTTTGTTAAAATTTTAAATAATGTTCTATAAATGAAAATGTAATTCAAAATCAAATAGAGATATTAATTTTAAAAACAAGTAGGTAAGACTTATTGATAAAATGGATACTTATCTCTGTTTGATTTTTATACGTTTAATATAAGAATTATTTCACATGTTATTAATTTATTTATTTGAAATGTACTCATTAATACCTTCAATATGATGTCATACATGAAACAATTGCTTATTGTTATGTTTAGGTCACAATTATTGATAGTTTATGTCCATCATAATTCCGTATGAATATATCTGTATCTGTTTGAATTATATTTTATCTATTATATCTCGTTTTGATTTATCAATTGAGATATTATTTGAAAAACTAAGAAGACTAGAGAAGAAGAAAAGAAGGGGGCCTAATACAGTGCCCCGTGGAACACCGCGGATACGTACATATGTAGGTACTCGTACAAAACATGAAGCCACGCCAACAAAGGCTTCTGACAAAAAATTATCCGTAGTTTAGTAGTATTCGTTCCTATATAATTCATCTGATTACGATAAAATTTTGGCAAGATGATATGCGCGTACCCGTAAACTTTTCTCACAAAAAAGGAAGTGCAATTTGCAACGTAGCCAGGGCACATTTAGTATGTTATAAATCAGAGATTTAAATATATAGGTATTTTAAACAGAAGTGGGTATTACCCTGCACATTCATTGCACTAAAAGAGAGATAGATAGAGAGAGAGAGAGAGCGAGAGAGAGAGAGAGAGAGAGAGAGATAGCTAACTGGCTAGGATTGCCAACTTTACTATAGTCACTTGCGAAAATGGGGCCGATTTTATGATGATTTTGTTCAAATACAAAATTAAATACAAATAGATAAAAAGACGTAGTTATTAATAATACATTATATAATTCTTCCATACGTGTGTCACTGAATTCCTCTTAAACGGCTCGATCGATTTTGATGAAATTTTTCTGTGTTTGAGTGGGTCCCTGGATGGTTTACAAATGCATCCGGTTGGCGCTGTTGTTAAAATCCAGAAATTATCCGTGCGAAGTCGGGGTGGAACACTAGTAAAGTATAGGAAAGCCACAAATGTAAAAAATTTAATAAATGTGGGATCCGACGTTTAAAAAAAAACAAAAGAAAGCTTATAAAGTTTAATATGATTTAATGTTGTCTTTTGGATAATAAAACATTTTTATAATTATTATAAATAATGTGATGATGACGTTCAATGTTTTTCGAAACAAAAGGCGTCCCGCAGGGGCAATCGACGGGACGGGTTGTACGTGGCGTACCGGAAAATTCGGGGTAGTTAGCTAGGCTAGTTGCAGCATGACTCTACCACATATTATTTTAAAAAAAACTGGTATTTGTCTTCTCCTTTTCTAATCTGTGTAATTAGTGTTTAGCGATTTTGAAAGGGTTTATAACCATCTGTCGGACACCGAAGCTTTTTTTACCAATCATAATGGGGCATAGTTTGGCTTTTGGACTAAAAAATGCAGTTCCTACATCAAAGGTGGGCAACGCATTTGCGATTCCTCTGGTGAGGTAGATTTTCATGGATGGCGATCACTTGTATATAAATTATAAATAAATAATTAAATAATACGTTTATTTCGGTAATCTTGTTAACAACATAATACTGAGATTTCCCAGTGAGTAACCAGAGGATGCTCGTGTAGGGAATGACCTGCTACTTCCCTTAAGGATAACAAAAATTTTAACCTCTAGAAAATTTGTAATTAGTATGTGTATATTAAGGAGTGTGTGAATGTGAGTGTAGGAGTGTTGTTGGATGTGTGATGTGAGGGTGTGTGTGTGTTTTATGTTGGTGGATGAAGAAAATATAAGTAAGAAGACTAGTTGCCTTGCAAAATAAAGTTTTACTGATCAAATATGAAAGATGGCATACTGTTAGACTGTTACCTGTAAATAAAAAAAACATATTCCCCCTAACTTTACCAGGTGGTGGGACTCCATCTGGGTAGGTACATCCGTCTTACCTATTTCTGTCGCCAAACAATACAGTGCGTACACTGTTGAGTTCCGGCCTGAAGGATATAAAGACTAGTATAATTAAAGGTTGTGATCATTCTATTTTAGTACTCAGAAGTAACAATGCATTTGTAGTCTTCTTTTTTTTCAAATCAAATCAAGAAGTAATAGGAATAAGGAATGCAGGAGTTTCTTTGAGATTAAGTAGGAAATAGGAATAAATAATATGTTATTTTTTACGATCTCGTTATTTGATGTAATAATTTGACGTGACTTGATATAATTCCCTGGACACGACAACACACTTGATGAGTGTGGTGCAGTCATCTGTTAATAAAATCATTGTATTTCGAATATGTTTCGGCAGGTCGTTTATATAGAATAAGAAAAGAAAGGGGCCTAATACAGCGCCCTGTGGAACACTGCGGTTTATTTCTCTGAATTTAGTTGTAATAACTGTCGCTATTTTTGTATAATGACAAAAATCGTTTAGTTCTCTGACTTGTTTTCTTTGCGAAATTAATGACCTGAACCAATCAAGAATCACTTCTCTAACTGTCAGTACTTAGTTTTTCTTAAGGCTTTCATACTATATATATATAAATAAAACACGTGCTGTAGATTCATATATATTTGAAGAACTACTTTAAATATATCACTTCTCACAAAACTTGAAAGCATCGAACACAATTACTCTCTACCGAGAGCTTGAGAGACAATTACCCACTGAAGTTGTCGCTTTTAAGTGTCAGTGTGCGCGTGCATCGTAACAACTCCATCGTGTCGTTTTTAGGGTTCCGTGTGCACGCGCATCGTAAAAAAAATCACTCTCATCATTTTCCCAAACGCCCCAAAAGAAGTATAACTTCAAAAACTTCTATTGGCTTTTATAATTAACAATTTTTTAATGTAAAGTTTTTTAATTTTCATTTTAATTTTGGTTATTTTTTTCAGGTCACGAAACTAGACGACTTGAGTCCAGTTATCTTCTTGAACAGGACCAGAGCGACACTTAACTGCGCAGCGGGTTCAATGCAGGTTGGTTATTTTAAATAGCGTCCATTTGGCCAGTTTTGGTCGTCGTGATTACCGTAATGCCGTAGATTAAGGCTTACTTGTTCTCCTTTCTGTTATTGAGTTAAGAACAAGCTGTGATAATGTTTAGTAAAGATTAAGTGTTATTAAAATTCGAACCTAAAAGCCCATACGTACAAGCGGTTAAATGCGAGGCGATCTACGTTATACGCATTAAACCACCACAAAATTTTTACAGCGGCAGTTAATCGGAGGGCAGCTCACTTCGCGGCTGGTTAGATTATCGCACTAGGCGGCTAGGTGGTTCAGTTCGTAACTTAGGAGCATGTATGGTTCGCGGCGAGCCGCTAGTGAGTGCCTCACAGCCATCCAATAATGGATGAGTCCAGTATTTTATTCTTTTCTTTTCGTCGTTTTCTAAAGTTAAAATAGATAACACAAACTACTTTGACAGCATCAATTGCTGCTGCTGTGTTCCTTATGATATATGACGAGAATCGGAGACCCTTTTCCTGGAAACCATAGGCAAGGGAAGGCCGTCAATATTTCATCTTTATTCTCAGGGATTACAACACTTATGCATTTTGATTTAAATCTAAAGATAGATGGGCTGCAGCATCCACTACCATTAGGTGAACTGTTTCCTCTCATTATAACGTAACTCTTCTACAGTTGACGTTTGTTTTCAGATTGAAATGAAATTTAACGAGAAATTCTACGGCATCGCTTACGCCGACTTCGATCGCCACTCGGCGTGCCAAGTGGTGGGCAAAGGTGCGACCTCCTATAAGTTGGAGCTGCCACTAAAAGGATGTGGTACTAAGCAGGTTCGTACGTAAAATTGTAACCTCCATTGCACGCTTTACAGGTTAACACACATTCATTAATTATAGCCAGCGGTGGATTTAATTTTTTGGTGCCTTAAACTTTTAAAGCAAATGTTGCCCTTGTTTTTCATTTGTTTGTTTGTTTTAAATCATTCATATTCATTTTATATTGGTTTGTTATTGAAAGAAAAATAGGAGTTGTGGAAGTGACATAGGATATAACACTTTTCTCTTTTCCGTAAATTTTCTTACGCAGTCGGTTTTTTAAACTGTTTTAACCTATTGAGCTTGTTTTAACTTTTAACTTTATTCATAACTTAACTTTATATTTGTAGGATCCCCTCCGTGTGTTCACAAACAACATCGTGGTACGCTTCCACCCGGGGCTGGAGATGGACGGTGATGAAGTCATTACCATCGTCTGTCGGTACCCACCGCCGATCGTGCCTAAGCCTGAATTTAAGCCGCTTATATTTACGTAAGTATAATATTTGTAAAAACAAAACATATTTTATTGCTATGATATAGTGTAGGGAAGAATTACAATTCCAATTTTTTTTTCTTTAATATTTTATTAAATAAAAGTTTAATTTTTTACCCTTTTGAGTTGGAGGGAATATCGTAATCTAATAAATATTTACATTAAAACTTCACCCTCATTTTTACCAAATGCTTATGTTATTATTACGAGATAGAGCCAAGCTGCAGCTATGCTAGCTATAGATAGCAGCAGCATGAATGGGTCGGCTCAACCGGAACCAAGCTCTTACAGAATACCAGCGATAATCAACAGAATAATGATGCCGTTGAATGAATTATGTTTCGTATGTTGAGTGTAGAGAACCGGAGTTCCTTTTTAGTCGTTACGGGGCATTCCATTTTAGTCCACAGGGGTGACACCACATCATGTGCATTTTGATTCTTTTTTTTTATTGGAGAGGGGGCAAACGAGCATGCTGCTCATCTGATGGTAAGTGACTACCGCCACCCATTAACAACTGCAACACCAGGAGAACCAGGGGAATTGCAGATACGTTGCGGGCCTTTTAAAAAGGAGTAGTCTCTTTTCTTGAAGGTTCCTAAGTCGTATCGGTCCGGAAAAATCACTGCTGGTAATCGATTCCACAAGGAAGTCATGCGAGGAAGAAAACATGTTCTAAATCGCACAGTGGTGGACCGCCAATCATCCAGATGGTGTGGATGGTATCGGGAGTTCTGCCGCGATGTGCGTTCGTGTAATTTGGCGGAATTCTTAATCGTCAATAAATGTAACTATCTATGGGCTACAGCATCCATTTACAATCAGGTGGACTGTGTGCTCGTTTGTCATCATTCTATAAAACATGTGAGACCACCCAATAACCTATTAATATTAAAATATGTTCCCAATATTAACAAAGATTTCGGGTAACAAGAACATAAATAAGAATATGAAGTCAGCTTAAACACTTTTAAAATTTTATTCTTCCAGCCCGGAGAGAGGTCCGTTGCCAGCCAAAGCGCCGTTGGCCGGTACCCAAATCCTGATGATCATTTGCGCGATCCTCTTCCTCACTCTGCTGATCTTGGGTTTGGGTGTATCTTACTTGTGTCTCAGACGTCGAGCTCTGCCAGCACCAAGACGATTGATTGATGACTCTTCTGCGTCCATCATCAGCCGGGAGAGTATACAAGGTAAGTGTTCTTCTGACATTTTTAATGACGTTCTCAAGACAAATTTAATAAAGTCATTATCATCATGATTACATTAAACTTTTTCATCATCGTCATCATCCTACGACGACACTACCCGACAAATAAAAACATCTTGTAGTGTATTTATTATTAATTAACGATCCACTAGCGATAGGATATATTTATGTGGTGTTATCTAGATTTATTATACAAAAAGACCATCAATTTTATCAATGTTTCGTTAAAAAAAGTCAAGTTTTTTCAGTTTAGCATTGCTTCCTATTTGTTCATTAATTTTCATCAAACTCAGCTATTCTGAAGTTTAACCCGGACAGACAGATGGACATAATTAGAAAAATGGTTATTATTTATGTCTTGATAGCATGCAGATAAACCCCTCAGCTTAATAGAAGCCAATTATTTCAATATAACAGACAGACCCTTTAAATTTTTATTAACACAAACAAACTAAAATGGTAAAATTTAAATTAACGTCCTTTTAATTTTTTAAACATTTCTTTTATTTTATATTTTATTCCCATGGCATAGAAGTGAAAATCCCGCGGGCGCACCCGGTTTACCCAGCGGCGGCTGAGAGCGCGAGTGTGGCTTCCGACACGATACCCTCGGACTACCCGTCCGAGACGCCCAGCGAGGCGGAGGCGCACACCAACCAGGCCTTCATGATGGACGACTCCTATCACAGCGAAGGTACGCAGCCGAGACACCTGTAATGCCCATAAAGTATAACGAGGGAAATGTAGTAGCAATGTTGCAAAAAAAAAGGGGAAAATTATTTTAAAGTCATCAGCGAGTCTAAAATTAAATACGGGATATTTCTAGATTGTATTGTTTTTGACTAGGAGTTAGACAGAGTTGCTATCCATTCTTTAGCTATTTTTTACCGCTTAGCGTAACATCCGCCATTGTGGTTTCGGTTTGAAGAGTAAGAAAGTCAGCGAAATTATAGGCAGTTGGACATCTCATCTTTCTTATGGATGATAAGCCATCTGTGGCTTTCTTTCTTTGAAATTGACTGTAGGTGTACATATACGTCCCACTGTTGGGCACAGGCCTTCTCTCATTTCTGAGAGGGTTTTAGCAAGTAACGTTCGCCGCGCTGCCCCAATGCGTGTGCAATGGCGAACTTCACATGTCTTCGAAATATTTTTTTTCTTATTTCTCAGACATGCAGGTTTCCTCAGGATGTTTTATTTCACCACCGAGCACGTGGAAAATCAGCATTTAAAATTGCAATTAATAATTTCAATGGTGCCGGCCGGGATCGAACCCAGGTTGTTCGCGTACTGTGAAATTTACAGCAACCGCCAATCATCTGAGCAGTAGCTACTTAATTGTCGCCTTCATCGTTGCCGCTGGTTTTTGTTACAAGCTGATTTAATATTTTGAAAGCTATTAAGATTTTCCGCGTTCTCATTTTTTAATTTTTACGAGAATATTGGATAAAATATGGATAAAGAAAAAGAAACGTTTGACAGAGCCTTAATATAATATGGTTGTCATATGAATGGGTCGGCTCGTTCGGTGAAGAACCACGCTCTCACATAATACCAGCGAAAAATAGCAGTTTAACGCAGCTGTGTTTCGTATAGTGTGTGTAGAAAACTGGAAACCGTTTTTTTCTGGAAACGAGGCATTCCATCTTAGTCCTTAGGGATGACACTGAATTTTGATGCCTATTCGAGAATAGATGGATTCTTTTTCGAGGCAGATGTCTATGAGCTACAACATCCACTTAACATTAGGTGGACTCTGTGCCCGTTTGTCATCCCAATATTCTATAAAAAAGTAAATAACAACCATGCGTTTGTGGAGACTGGTGTCTTCTGATTTACGTTTAAGGTGTAGGAAAAAGTCTGCCGTACTATTCACAAACAAATTGGCAACTTTCAGATATTCTCGAAATATTCTTAACCTTTCATACGTGCCGATTTTAAAGAGTTTTGCATTGACTAAGGACGTTGTAAATTAGCAACTAAAATTGCGATTAACAATTTCAATGGCTGCAGCATAAGTTGAACTCTACCTCTAACTTGTACAATGTTATATTTTAAAAAATACAGTTGGACGATAAAAAATATACAGTTGGTATAGAAGTATATTGTTTGCTAAGGTGCAATCTTAAATGCTTTATTATCTTTAATGATTTGTATTTTTTGTATGAATAAAATACTAATTTTATTTTCGTTATTAATATAAATTATTGTAGTTTTAAGAAGCTAACATTGTGTTTGAATATCATTTCATTAAATACATTAATACATTTTAAATGTTACTTTAATATTTAAATCATTTAACGACCACGAAGTTGATCCGAAAAATAAAAACTCAAGCACACCTGTTCATTAAGCCGAGTATACCTAAATACCCAAACACACTCCAAAATTAAAATCAAACTAAAACATTTATTGATTTAACCTACACCTAAACCTCCTGTACTAAAATACGTTAAAACGTCTTATAGGTTGAGTTCGAACAAACCCAGTTCACTGTAGTTAAGTTCATTGTGTCTAACATTACTACCATAACTAACGACTAACAGGGTACGGTGAGATGAACGAGAGAGGCGCGTCTCACGGACGGTACACGCACGCAGGCATGCAGGGTGCAACGCACGCTGGCGCTGTACCTCCCGCCTTTGACGTCAGAGTGCGCGTCCAACGACCCCCGGCGCCACCATCGCCACCCTCTACCATCACTGCCACGGAAGTCGACGGTGGTAGCATCAGGTGAGCTTTTTACCTACATCATTCTTGTAATGTTAATTGTAAACCGTTAAAAATAAACATTTTATGAAGAAAACTTTCTTATGAAGGATCTTTCTTACTAACTTACTACTTTCACTGATTTGTAGTTGGTAGTTATTGTAGGCCTTATTCAAAGTATTCATACAATCATATAGCCTCATACAGTTTCAGTCGTCACACTCTTGGTTTACGCGGGCGATCTCAGGATAATTTAGGCCAGTGGTGGTTTACGTGAAGGTTCGTTACGGTCATGTATGTATATCTTAGAGTTGCACTTCCGGGAAAATATATGTAGCCAGATAGTCTACTATGATCACCTTTGTTTTATATATTATTGTATTATTTTCAAAATTAAAAGATTTTTTAAATTTTTGTTTGAAGTTTGATTTGAAAATAAGTCCTTCAGTTAAGATCTTCTTATTTGGGCCCATTTATATATTGTTTTAGCGGTCAAACCGCGAACTCACTTATCATGCTCACTATCGAGAAATACCACGAAACCCTGAACCCTACGGAACCCTAACTGGCCCAAAACGCACTTGGCCATTCTTTATATTAAAGTCGGTTATACATTTTTTTTAATTTTACCACTTGTGTTACATACAGGGTTATCATTAACCGTTTTGAATGATAACGGTAAATGATAGTTGACGTGTCAACTGAATAATGATGAGTATGTAAGTAAGCAACGTTACGACCACAGAAGCAATCTTTTAATTCGCACTAAAAACTGACATGGAGTTGGAACAGGCGTGTACTCGGACCGAGTAGCGAGCACATATGAACAAGCCGTTTAGGTACATATTCGTACTCGTGGTTATTCGTCTGTGCTCGGCGAGTTTCTAAACGTTGCCTATTATTTATTCTATGACGTTGCATTAACGATGCATAATATGAGTTTAATTCGCGCAGCCAAGCGTTGGTGGAGGAGCAGGAACGTCAGGAATCCGAGCGGATGGTGTCTGGCGGTGCGCTCCCGCTGCCGGCGCGCGCCGCGCACGCCGCACCCCCCGCGCGCCCGCCGCGCCCGCCCGCACTCTACTCGCAGGTCAACCGCGAACGACAGGTAACCAACTATAAAACGAGCCGAGAGGTTGTGGTAGCTTTATTTGTATTGTGCCTGTGCATGGATGGCTGAGTAATATTGTTGTTGTAGTAATAAGAATTAATATCTTGAACTGTTACATTACAATAATGTACAATACATCAATATCATCTTTATTTGCATTGCTGCATATTAAAGTTTCGAAGTCATATGATGTCTGTCAAGAGACATTAGGGCAGTGCGGACATATACTTGCCCTTTAAAACTTGAATAAATTAATTTATCCCGGCCGGAGTGATCATAAATCGGTTACTTAATTAATAATAACTTAGCGATTAAGACTGGCTATGGATGTGATCCTGGCGAAGGGCCAAAAACGGCGTGTTGGTTTAAATGACCAACTACTTGTTCAGAGTTATTAAAATAATGATTTTACGTCAGAGCGGACATCTGTTCTCGACGCCTCGGCAGTCTTGAAGGTTCGGACCTGTCCATCCTTTGGCTACGCGTAGATAGCGACGATCATCCGCGCGTCTACGAGTGCCTCTATAGGTCCCATAGCGGTAATGCCGAAACAGACCGACTCATCGACCACGTCCAAATGGCTACAGATTCCTTGCTACAACAGGTCCCATCCGCAGAGATCGTGATCCTTGGCGATTTTAATGCCCACCACGCCGAATGGCTCGGTTCACGTTTAACCGATCATGCGGGGAGATCTGTTTATGACTTTGCTTTGGCATATGGTCCGACACAACTGGTTACTTCGCCTACGCGGATTCCAGATGTAGAGGATCATACACCTTCCCTGTTGGACTTTCTGCTGACATCGACAGAAACCTGATATCCAGACGGATATCAGGTTTCTGTCGATGCCCCTCTCGGCTCTTCGGACCATTGTGTGATCCGGAGTGTGGTACCACTCACGCTCCCCTCGCAGTTGCGTTCTGCAGGTTGCCGCCGTGTTTGGCATTACAGGTCGGCGGATTGGGACGGAATGCGGTCTTTCTTTGCATCCTACCTATGGGGGCGGGTTTGCTTCTCGCCGGATGATCCCAGCGCTGTTGCTGACTCTGTCACTGACGTGGTGCTACAATGGGGTGGGAATGGAACTATTTATTCCATCATCTGTGGTACCCATCGGAGGCAGATCTCAGCCTTGGTTTGGTCGCTCCTGTAAGACTGCATTACGCAGTAAGCAGGAGTGTTATCAAGCCTGGGCCGCGGCTTCGGCGACTCGGGATGTAAACACCAGCACACTTAAAAAGAAGTATAACATTCGTTTCCAGGTCATTCAAGAAAGCCGACCTTTTAGGCTCCCTTTTTGCGTCCAACTCGACTGTTGATGACGGGGGGAACACACCGCTGACCATCCCGCGGTGTGAGTGCAGTTCTAACAGCGCTCGGTTCGCAGATCACTCCTCTCCCTGGACATCCACAAGTCGAGTGGGCCTGACGGAATCCCTCCAATTGTGCTGAGGACGTGTGCTCCGGAGTTGGCAAAGGTTCTAACGCGTCTTTTCCGGTACTCCTACTCCCTAGGCGTAGTCCCGAAATCATGGAAGACAGATTTTGTCCACCCGATCCCTAAAAAAGGCGACCGCTCAGACCCGTCCAACTACAGGCCTATCGCCATCACCCCCTTGTTATCCAAAATAATGGAATTCGTTATAAACTGCCACCTCATGTGGTACCTTGAGGATCACCAGTTGATTAGTGACGGCCAATACGGTTTTCGTCGGGGTCGATCAGCTGGTGATCTTCTGGTCTACTTAACCCATAGATGGGTGGAGGCAGTAGACTCCAAGGGGCAGGCATTGGCCATTAGTTTGAGAGTGCTCTGAGGAACTGTTCGGATTAATGGAATCGATTACCATCAGCGATTTTTCCGGACCGACACGACTTAGGGACCTTCGAGAAAAGAGCGTACTCCTTTTTAAAAGGCCGGTAACGCATCTGCGATTCCTTCCCTGGTGTTGCAGCTGTTCATGGGCGGCGGTAGTCACTTACCATCAGGTGAGCCGCATGCTCGTTTGCCCCCTCTCCTATAAAAAAAATTACTTTTTCGAATATAAAGTAATATTATGTTATTTCATCATCAGTTCATAGTTTGAAAAGATATAGGTAGGAAGTTTACAGGTAGGTATACATTTTTATATATTAAATCAATATTTGTGTTAATTTATTGTGTGGTTGTTTTTTCTTTCCTACAAAATTACCTAACATTAGTCATTAAGCGCTCACCTGTGTTAATAACTGGATTTTTAAAAAGGCATTTTGGTTTACGTTTAGTACATTCAAAATGTTTGTTTCATACTACGGCAAGAACTACATTAGCCAACATAAACATCTCCACGTAAAAATATATAATTTCAAAATGAACTTTATCAATATGGAAATAACGTACGATGTTCTACATATACAAATCGTGCATAGCGATACGCCACATCACGTGGATTATACGAGTACAACTTTTAACACCAAACAGCATACAACACATTTTTTTATAGGATAGGGTGACAAACGAGCATACAGTCCACCTGATGGTAAGCTGCGGTCCATAGACAGCTACATCTATCTGCGATTATGAATCAAAATGCAGATGCGTTGTCACCCGTGAGGACGAAGATGGAATGTCTGGTTTCTACTAAAAAGGGTCTCCGGTTCTCTACACTCACCATAAGAAACACAGCAGCATTAAGCTGCTAATTTACGCTGGTATTCTGTGAGAGCGTGGTCCTTCCCCGGTCAAGGCGACCCATTCGTGCTACAACTACACTATTAATATAGCTGCAGCATGGCTCTACCACGTTTACGTCTAACACTGGAGCAGCGCGGCAAACAAATTGTTCCATAACCTTTTCAAAAAAAAGAGGAGCCTTGTTCCCAGCTGTGGGACGTATATATGCTGCAAAATTACTTTTTTAACATATGAATAGTAAATTGTGAGCTACGCTATAGCGTGTTATGGTTGCAGCACGAATAGGTCCGCTCGAGCGGGAATGAAACACGCTCGAAAATAATAGCAGCGTCAAATAGCAACATAATGCTGTTGTGTTTCGTATAGTGAGGGACGAGTATCGCAGACCCTTTTAATGGTAACGGGACGTTCCATCTTTGCCCTGAAGGGTGATAAAACTTCATTATTTTGATTCTTTAATCGAGGATAAAATTATGTTAAGCACTCCGCCATATTTTTGATCGGCATGCAACGGATGCGTGGGTCTAATGTAGTTCCAGCCTAATACTTTACCATGGAATAATCTCACCCAACTCATCGAACTAACCAGGAGTGGGCGCGACGTCCACGGTCCATCGTGTCACTAAACACAGAGATGACCGACACGCACTCTGTCACCGAAGTCACCGACGGCTCTCACGCAAGAATGTTCCATATCAAGGTATTATGAGATTTTGACTAAATGTTGTGTGTGGTGGAATTAAGTACGAGGGTGGATTGAAAAGTACTCGGCCTAACCAAGAAAATAAACAAATACTAAATCAGTTATATTTTTATTTTTCTACATAATCACCATCAAGTTCAATACACTTTTGCCACCTACCCTTCCAAGCATTTAGACCGTTGAAAAAAAATGATTCTTCCTTAGAGTCAAAATATGCGTCTACAGATGCTTTGACCTCGTCGTTTGTCGAAAATCTTTGACCTCCCAAGTGCTTTTTTAGGTTAGGGAACAGAAAGAAGTCTGATGGTGCCAGATCAGGTGAATACGGCGGATGCGGTAACAGTTCAAAGCCACAGTTGTGAATTTCAGCCATTGACTGTACTGACGTGTAAACACGGGCGTTATCTTGATGAAACAGGACTTTTCTTCTGAGCATTCCTCGACGTTTTTCTTTTATTTCCTCTCGTAAACGACGTAGTAAAGTGCAGTAGTAATCAGAGTTTATATTCTGACCCCTTTCAAGATAATCAATCATAATCACACCTTTCGAGTCCCAGAATACTGAAGCCATCTCCTTATTTGCCGACAAAATCGACTTAGCCTTTTTAGGGGGTGGTGAACCAGGTCTTCTCCACTGTTTTGATTGTTGTTTTGTTTCCGGTGTACAGTAATGAACCCATGTTTCGTCCATAGTAACAAAACGATTCAAAAAATCATCTGCATCGGCTTCAAATAACTCCAAACAGTCGCGTGAAATAGTCAATCGCGTCCTTTTTTGTTCAACTGAAAGCAGTCGCGGAACCCACCTCGCAGACACCTTGTAGAAACCCAACTCGTTGACAATGATGTTTTGAGTTCGTTCATAAGAGATGCCTATAATCTCGGCTATCTCTCTAATTTTTAATCTGCGGTCTCCCATTATTAAATCAAGTACTTTTTTAATATTTTCGTCAGTAGTTGACGTCGAAGGCCTTCCAGAGCGGGGTTCACCTTTCACACTCTCTCTACCACGCTTAAATTCTGCTATCCATTTTTTGACGGATGAATATGACAGAGCACAATCGCCTAATGTACTGACCATGTCATCATGGATGGCTTTTGATGATAGCCCCTTCTTATGGAGGTACTTAATGACGGCACGCTGCTCGATTTGCTCCATTCGCGGAAATTATGTCCGATTACTTTGTTAATAAATTTATAAAATCACAACTAATTATCGCACACGTTTCGAACTTCACACAATGAACTAGTCTGAACTGAACTAAATAATGTGGGTAGATTTGATTTTTAGAATTGAATGGATCTGTGTTAGGCCGAGTACTTTTCAATCCACCCTCGTAATATGGTTGTGTTTTATTAACTTTAAATCACTGTGTTCTAACAAGAATGCAGACTGAATGGGGCAGTGGTATCTGTTTTTTTTTAATTACTTTTCTCGAAGTTCGAAAAAGAAAATAATTTTTAAGCAAATAATTTTTTTATTCGTTTATTACTACTACTAGGTAAGGGTTATTGGGATGCCACTAAATGTATTATAGTGTTTTTAAATGAAACTAATTTTACACAGATTTTATCGCGTATATTAACTTATTTTTATATATTCCCGACGTTTCGGGTGCTTTCCAGCACCCGTGGTCACGGGGGACTGAGTTGTTTGACATCCTGCTGTCATAGTTAGCCCGGCTACCTTCAGTTTTCAGGAAAGCACCCGAAACGTCGGGAATATGTATAAAAATAAGTTAATATACGCGATAAAATCCGTAAAATTAGTTTTATTTAAAAATGTGTAGTGTTCGTGTAAATATAAGAAATCATTACGTATTATAGTGTTTAATAGGTGGTTAGGTCTTTTAGTACGTAGAGTTCCTATGGGAGGTACCACCGTCTTAGGTATTCCTGTCGCCAAGATGTCAGTACACCCTTTATTGTGTTCTCGTTTGAAGTGATTAATGATTATTGCTTTTTTTACGTCATTAATCCTCCCCCCTCCCCCTCCCCACACACACGAGGATTTTTTCCTATACCGTGGAGGTAGTTTACATATACATACTGTGTATTGAATAAATATACAACGTGTAACAAAAACCCTGTGGTTGCCTTTAAGTGCATTATCAGTGTCAGTATTCTAACGTAAAGAAATAACTTTTTTCAAAATACTTGAACATTAAAAAAATTATTTTAATTTAAAAAAATATTTGCAAACTGTGTGTGGGTTTATTACTTCTAACTGACACGAACATCGATGAAGGGGGGCCTTTCTCAATCTTATTATTTTCCGGATAATGCAGAGGTAATAAAACCACATACTCGTACAATTCGCAAATTATTTTTTTCAAATTAATTTTTTCAATATTATTCAAGTTTTTTGTAACACGTTATTCCTTTACGTTTGAATACTGGCTCTAATAACACACTTAACGGAAGCCACAGGGTTTTTGTTACATGTTGTATATATGATTACATTTCTAACAAAAAAAAAAAATTAGAAAATTATTTTATATTCGTTTACTACTTTATGTGTAGTATTTGGTAGGAGGTAAGATATAAAAGCTTTTACAAAAATTTACTTCGCAAATAAAAAAAAATTTTGTAAAAGCTTTTATATAATGGATTTCCGCAAAGTAACGCCTGATTCTATTAATTATAGGAGGTAAGATCTTTTTCTGCCTAGAAATTCCGATGGTAGGTGTAACCATGTTACCTGTTTCTGCCGTAAAGAGAGTGCACCCAGTACTGTGTTCTCGTTTGAAATATAAGGAGTCAGTGTAATGCATGCTGTGAGGCATCACATTATGATAAATAGTTCTCTGGAGTTACCACGCATCTTTAGCCTTCTCACTTTGAAGTTGGTTGGCAGTTCAATGAGCTAATGATGTAGCTTCTTATCATCATAGGATCTTTAATATTATAAAACTAGCTGTTCCCCGCGACTTCGCCTGCGTGTAATTTAGGGTTTAATTATATTGCTCAGAAACCTAATTCTTTTTCTCAAACATAAGTTGCCTAAGATATTCCTTAGAAGAACAGCTATCTGCCAGTGAAAGTCCAGTCCCGTCGAAATCGGGCCAGCCGTTTCGGGGATTAGCCGGAACAAACAGAAAGACAGACAGACAGAACGACAGACAGACAGATAAAAATTTTAAAAATTGTGTTTTTGTTATAAGTACCGTATATGCATTCATATGCATTTAATTAAAAGCTGTTCTTTTAATATTACAAACAGACACTTCAATTTTATTTATTTATATAGATATAGATGAATTATGAACTCTAAACTTAGAAGAGCTAAGTTGTTAGTTTTTCCGAGAAGGTCATGTTAAATATTGAATAAATAAATATAACTTGTTGGTAATATTCATTGCAGTTTATAAAAATCTATTGATGAACATAGGCCTCCCCCTTAGGTTATTGTATAGGGGGTATTTGCCAATGCGTCGCGCTTGGCGGGCTGCTTAAAAACAGCAGTTTTTTATAATTTAGAGTTGTTATCAAGAAGATGCTACTGCCTATCTCATGTTTTAGCTTCTTTCACCCTTAATGATACTCATGGGACGCTATGGGGGTAGTGGTTCTTAGACTGCCACTATGCCGGTTATTATATATTCTGTGGTATGAATGAATTTAAATATCATTTTATATTCTAAAAATAATAATTCATGCAGGTCATATTAAGTGCATTGCTGAACATACGTTTTCTTCAAGAATTGGCTACAAAGTACGACAATAAGCCACCTACATCTATCAATTTACTTCATGACGTGACTAGAAGTACAGATAGGGTTGCTACTGGAGAGTTCACAATTTAAAAATAATTAAAAATTTTGTACAACCGACTGCAATATAAATTATTAAGAATAATTCAAAAACTATTGGTCAGACCTTAATCAAATTTATATGGGACCACATGTGAAGCATCAGCTTTCAAATAAAACAATAATCATCTAAATCGGTTCACCCAATAAAAAGTTATGAGGTAACACACATAAAAAAGAACATATAGTCGAATTGAGTACCTCCTCCTTTTTGAAGTCGGTAGAAACAACATAGACGCTTAATATGATGTAGTATACATAAATAGTTACAGTGAGTGCGTAGATATATGGATGTGAAGGAAGCGAGAGAAATGGAAGCTGGTAGTCTCGTGATAGTTTATGTATGTATGTAAATTGCAGAAACCACCTCCGCCGCCTCCAATGATGACCGAGCGTTTGGAGACAGAGGAACAGGAACTGACAATGGAGAGTCTTGAACCAATCCCGGAGACCCCGATAATGCCCGCCAGGTGAGTTGAGAGTGAGATAGGGACAATAAAGAGTGGAACGTGAAATTAAAGACCTACAACACAAATCCTGCATATTATGTCATATATAGAGTAAAACGTTCTTTAATTTTGGAACAGGCAAGAGTCCACTGATTAAATACAATAAAGTGTACAATATGCATTATCAACTTTTGCTTTAAAAGGATGGCCCGCTGGTTTGCTAGCTGGTTGTCCCTAGACCAGAAGGTTATCTGAACTAGCATTAAAAACATTAAATATCTTCTACTTAATCGATCCGAAAGTTTCACTCAATCAATCAATCAATTACAGGCTGAACATAGGCCTTCCCCATATATTGCTTAATAGGGGAAATTTCGCCAAAGCTGCCACGCTTGGCAGGTGGGTTGGCAACCGCAGTTTTTATAATGTTGAGTTGTTGTCAGGAAAATGCTTCTACCCATTTCCTGTTATAGACTATACACATACTTGTTCAGTGCTGTATTCGAACCCGCGGTCCTCAGTGCTGCATCTAATTGCTAACCCTCTGCGCCAAGGAGCCATATTATATATGAATGAAAATAATTTTACTCTCAAAGCCAGCTTGGTTTACAAGTAGGTAAATGAAATGTTATTCTATATACAGGCTATACCTGCCTTCGTCCTGGTTTGCTACTGCTGCCTGTAGTTTGTCTGACATAAAACCGTACTCATAATCAATTCAGGAAGCCGGAGATCACGTCCCACGTGGTCGACGACGTGTTTCTCCGCACAATTACTGAGAAGAAGACGATCGAGGACATCGAGCGGCACAAGCGGCTGGTGACCGAGTACCGGCAGGTGCCGGCCCCCGCGCCGCAGTTCGACGTCACCATTCGCAACCACACGTTGCCTGAAGCGCAGTGGGAGAACTTCTCCGATATTAGCAGCGCTTCGGGAATGACACTGACACCTAAAATGGAGAGGGTACCGCTGTCTCTACCGCCTCAGAAGTTTATAGGTTAGTATTTGTATATCTGAAGTTTTATTATATTTCTAAATTAAATGTGATAAAATCCGTATTATCCGTATATATTAGATAAGATTTTTTTTTACATATTAGCGTTAACTACTTTTTGAGTGTTTCTCTAAAGGACTGTATGTCAATAAACAATAAATAGTTAATATAAGCACATGGATTTAATGTACTCGTATTTATTAAAGCAAGACATTTTTATAAAGCAGAAAAAACACTTTTATTTGACAAAAATAGGCAGATTCATTATGTTACACAATTAAATAAAAAAAAACAACCAATGAACAATAACTTAAAAGAAATGCAATACAAAACAAAAGCCCTTCATTATCTTTATTAAATTTTGTAAAATCAATATACTATTTATTTGAAGGTCAAGGTGGACCGGACCTCTTCTCACCCGAGCTGATCAAGCAGACAGGCAAAGTATACCAACCGTCATCCCCTGATCTTCCACTCCTACCGGAGCTACCACCTGCTCGCAACCCCCTGTACAGAGAAGAAGACGACGAGGACGTGCCAGAACCTACCCCCACACCACCGGTACCACCGAACTGGACTGTTTTGACCAGAGTTTTGAAGACCGAAGCCCAGGATGAGGTAGGCTTAGAAATATTCTTATTGCATTTATATTAAGGTGCATGATATAGCTCAGGACCCTGCTTTGTGATATTCTTTGGGGTGAGGCCTATGTCCAACAGCGGACTTGCGAAGGGCTATGATGATAGGACTCTAATTCTGCCAAGGAGCCCATCAGTTATATATTTAAAAAAAAAACTGTCAGTCGTAGGACTCCACATCAGAAGTGAAAACTTCTTAGCTTCACAAACTTTATTTTTGGGTTGTCAAGAAATGTTTTTAGAAAGTATTTTTTATTAGAAATTGTTTTTATCAACGTATTGATAATTAATATAATTTTCATTTTTTGTGCTGTTTTACATGAAAAAGAATGATTATTATCTATAAGTACAAACAAATTTATAAATACATATCAATTTTATAAAATGTAATCAATTGGATTTTCAACATTATTTTCATCAATTTTATGTTCTCGTATCTGAGCGTGACGGTCACGTCAGTTCAGTGCTTTTTCCCCATCCCAAAAGTGCCTAACGTGCCTAAAGAATGATTTCTTATATTTACGCGAACACTACACATTTTAAATAAAACTAATTTTACGGATTTTATCGCGTATATTAATACATAAACATAACATAAACACTCACGCCTGTCACCCAGAGGGGTAGGCAGAGACTACGGACTTCCATTTGGCGCGATCCTGACACACCTCTCTCGCCTCTTTTACATCCATATATCTACGCATACACGCCCGTCGGTTATGGGTACTTCTAATCTGGCCCATTTTTAATGTATCGCCGATTTGGTCGATAAACCTTCGTCTAGGGCGTCCCTTCCCGACCCTGCCGTTCACTTCCGCAACATAAATTTGCTTTGTCACGCTTTTACTTGGCGTATATTAATCTACTTTTATATTCCCGACGTTTCGAGTGCTTTACAGCACCCGTGGTCACGGGGGACTGAGGTGTTTGACGTCCTGCTGTCATAGTTAGCCCGGCTACCTTCAGTTTTTTAATATTAATTTTTGGTCCGATTTACGCAGAATGAGCTTACAGTATCTTGAAGTCTAGCAGTAGTATACTTGGGTTTGGATTTGATTTTATTAATTATGGGATCCCAAGCAGATGGCAGCACCCATCCATCTTCTCTATTGAAATTAGGATGTTTTTTAATTTCAATAGCCTCGCGAATCATCCTTGGGAGGAATCGGTGTTCTTTTGCGAGGATTTGTGGTCTATCAAATCTAATGTAATGGCGGGGACGATCTTGAACATGTTCACAAACTGCAGACTTCCCGATACCTCGGTGCTTCACGTCAGCTATATGTTCTTTAACGCGGGTTTTAATAGATCTTTTTGTTTGTCCTATGTAGGAGAGACCACATTCACAATCCAGCTTGTACACTCCTGCATCTTGTAGAGGGATATGACACTTGACGGATGGTAAAAATTGACCAATCTTCTTCAGCGGTTTGAAGTATGTTTTAATGGAAGCTCGCTTCAAGATGTAGCCAACCTTGTCTGTGACTCCTCTGACATAGGATAGTATAGCAGGCACACGCTCGACTGTGGCTGGCTTCACTCGGTCACTGTGACGTAGGCGCGGAACCCGAAGCTTGTTGTCTTGCAGTACTTGCTCGACGTGCTGAAGCTCGGCGGCCAGATGTTTTCTGTCACAGATCCCAGTCAGAGTTTCAGAGAGCACGAGGGATCTGTGACAGAAAACATCTGGCCGCCGAGCTTCAGCACGTCTACAAGATGCAGGAGTGTACAAGCTGGATTGTGAATGTGGTCTCTCCTACATAGGACAAACAAAAAGATCTATTAAAACCCGCGTTAAAGAACATATAGCTGACGTGAAGCACCGACGTATCGGGAAGTCTGCAGTTGGTGAACATGTTCAAGATCGTCCCCGCCATTACATTAGATTTGATAGACCACAAATCCTCGCAAAAGAACACCGATTCCTCCCAAGGATGATTCGCGAGGCTATTGAAATTAAAAAACATCCTAATTTCAATAGAGAAGATGGATGGGTGCTGCCATCTGCTTGGGATCCCATAATTAATAAAATCAAATCCAAACCCAAGTACACTACTGCTAGACTTCAAGATACTGTAAGCTCATTCTGCGTAAATCGGACCAAAAATTAATATTAAAAAACTGAAGGTAGCCGGGCTAACTATGACAGCAGGACGTCAAACACCTCAGTCCCCCGTGACCACGGGTGCTGTAAAGCACCCGAAACGTCGGGAATATAAAAGTAGATTAATATACGCGATAAAATCCGTAAAATTAGTTTTATTTAAAATGTGCCTAAAGAAGTATTCACTTCAAAAAAAAAACTTCAAATATACGCGTAGCTCTATCTTTTTTTGTTGGTTTTTACAAGTTCTTAGTAGGTACAAGGTTGACAAACGAGCATAGTCAACCCGATGGTAAGTGTGGCTTATAAACATCTACATTTATTTTTTATTAGTAATCAAAATGCTTTTGTCTTAGTGCTTTGTCACCACTGAGGCCTACTAAGAAGAGAGGAATGCTTCGTTTCCAATAAAAACGGTCTCCGGTTCTCTACACTCACCATACGAACCACAGTAGCATTCAGCTGCTGTTTTACGCTGGTATTCTGTGGAGTGTTCTGTAACGGGGGCTTAGGAGACTCCTTCAATGACTTTATTTCTATCGCTAATTCGTAAAAAAGTATTGGTGAACGATTCGTAAGACTTATTTCATCGGTTTATTTCAACGGTTTCTTTTTTTGTTTCAAAAATATTGTCGCTAGATGGTGTACGTAGTCTGTGACGACAGAGAGCGTGGGTATTTTCCGATCGAGCTGACACATTCGTGTTACAACTATAATATAGTTTTGTTAAACCTCCGCAGTCCGTCCGTCGCTCCGTCTGTCTGTCAGCGGGCTGTATCTCATGATCCGTAATAGGTAGACGTTGGAAATTTTCACTGAGTCACAAATATTAAAAATTAAAATAAATTACAAATTAATTTTTAATTTATTAATTTAAATTATTATTTTTTACGTGGTATCTTACTCCTCACGAGTGACAACGCATCTGCATTTTGATTCTTTATTGAGGATAGATGTAGATGTCTACGGGGCACAGCAACCACTTACCATCAGGTGGACTGTTTGTTTGTCACCCTATCATATAAAAAAAATTAAATGGGACTCCCCTACTAGAAACGTGCTTTACGATGATACGTAACCGGTTATTAATACAGTAAGGGTGACAAACGAACACACAGTGCACTTGATGGTAAGTGAACATCTACATCTATCCTTGATTAAGAATCAAAATGCAGATGTGTTGTCACCCTTGAGGAAGGACTAATATGGAATGCTTCGTATCCAGTGAAAAGGGTGCTGCGTGGTTATACGATACGACGTATCAAGGTGTGAGAGTTGTGTACATTGTTGCAGGTGCTGCTGGAGACGGAGCGGTCGTGGCGGCTGACGCGCGAGGAGCGGTTGCGCTGGCGCGAGGTGATATCGCGTGAGGGCGCGCTGCGGCGCGAGCTGGCTCGCTGCGGCTCGCGCGACGACTTCGCGCGCCTCGCGCTCGACCGTCGCTTCGCGCCTCTTTACCCGCCCCACAAGTGGGAGGTCATCGTGCGCATCCTCGCGCCGCCCGCCGACCGCCAGAAGGTAACAGCAGTTCCGAAGAGCGCGTGCGAGCGCGTATGTGCATGTGGGTGAAAGTGTGTGTGTGTGTGTGTGTGTGTGTGAGAGAGAGAGAGAGAGAGAGAGTATGCTCGCGTAGATTATGTATTTTCAAAACTTTCAATACAGATTGACATAATATAGAATCAAAGTTCAACATAAATCCGCTATAGTAATATAGTATATACGCCAATAGTAACTTGTTGTAGTAGTATGACAATTTTCGATGTTTGCTTATTATTTATAAAAACATTTATATGAAAAAAGCTTTTCAATGAACAGAAGAGGTGATTTACGCGAACTGCCAATGGAATAAAACTAATTTTACGAATTTTACCGAGTGTAGTTTTAACCTTCTTAATCAAATAAAGAGAGAATTTAAAAAATAACAATAAATCAAATAGCTCAATAAGTAATAGTTGCAGGTAGCCTTCGTTAACAATGACCTCAGAACATCAAACTAATTATTTCTCCCAGTGAACATGGGTGCTGTAAAGTACCCGATACATCGGGAATTAAAAAGTTTAAATGAAACGCGATAAAATCCGTAAAATAAGTTTTATTCCATAAGCAGAATAGTTACTTATCGTAAGAAGTTTCACATGTGACTTGTGAATATGACGTGCAGAACCGGTACCGCAAGAAGTCCGAGTGGGAGTCGCGGTCGCGCCGCAGCTCGCTGCCGACGCTGTACGAGTACGACAGCGACGCGACATCGTTGCGAGAACCGCAGCGCTCGCGCCGATCGTCTTACCGCAGCGACCACGTCGATATGAGGTTCCCTTTACACTTTCAATGGTTTCTTTTTTACCTTCACAATAATACACAATTTCTCGTGTATCGTGTGGGCAATTTACATACATATATTTCACAAGGACAAACATCCGGACCCGGAATAATTGTAGGTCATACAAATACTTGTTCCGTGCGGGATTCGAAACGGTCCTTAACGCTGCAAATCATTGCTAAGCCACTGCGCTATGGAGCCGATAACTCTTATTTATTGGAACGAAGTTCCTTATCGGACGGTACGGGTTTGGCGGATGGGAACAAGGCGACAAAAAGTGCAAGATTTTTTCGTCACTACTCCTTGTGTCATAGTGTATTTTATTTTAATTGACGCTTCATTTTAATAGACGCTAGTAATACATTTATTTATATTTGTTAATCAATAATATAATACGTTTATCAATAATAAGGAATTTCGTTCCAACCGAGTGTTCCACGACACTCACGCATGTTTTTTATTATAATAACTGGAGATCCATCCCGCTTGATGTTTGGGTGCACGGTTAATTTCTGGATTTCGACAACAGCGCCACGTACCGGTAACTCAAAGAAACACAAAAAAAATCATCAAAATCGGTCCAGCCGTTTAAGAGGAGTTCAGTGACACACATACAGAAGAGTTATATAATATAAAGATAATGTGCTCAAAAACCGAACGCAGTCACGCATGCCAGTCTTAACGGTGACTAGCCATTTGCGCAGGATAGGATTAGTGGCCAAGTGTTTGCGCAGGCACATTTACACTCTCTATTCCCTATCTCTCATAGTCCGATGGGACTGTAATCTGACACAATAGGTCATGATCAGGAGATCAGGTTTACGTGCTTTCTAACAATTGCTCGACAGAAAAATTCAATAACTGATTTTTTAGACTCGACCCAGTATTCGAACCCAGGGCCTCGTGATCAGCATCCGCGTTTAAGACCTCTAGACCCAGTATCAGGCTTACGTGTTTTCTGACAATTTCTTTACAGAAAAACTCAATTACTGATTTTTTTAGACTCGACCCAGGATTCGAACCCCGGGGCCTGATCAGCATCCGCGTTTACGAACAAATTGTAGCAGTCAAAATTGTTTTATTATTTATTTTTTTGCTTATATATTTATTATTTTACAATATACCAGAATAGGAATCGACCTAGGAGTCCGTTTAAGTAGGAACCACCTAGGTAAGAAACCTATTCCGCGCTATGTGGTCATTTTTGCATCAAATTATTTGAAATCAAAATAATTTGTAGGAGAAAAACTTTGATTTCAGGTGCCAATCTCACCTGCATTTCTTCATGGCCAATTCAAATGTAGAGATACATCGGCACTTCTAACTAAGATGGAATGCCTTAGGCCGCGTTCCGACGACACGCACCCGCTACGCGCACGCCACGCGCGTCATCACCTGCGTCTAACTCGCTTTGAAATTTGTTGCATATAATTTGAGTCTTATGACAAATCAATAAATCTGAAATTGTATAAAAAGCTCGGGCGTAGAGCGTAGCGCGGCGGGCGCAGAGCGTGTGTGGGACGAACGCGGGGCCGGCGCAGAGCGGGAACGAGGCGGGCGCATGGCGTGTGCGTGTCGTCTGAACGCGGCCTTATTGTAAACTTCAAATATAATTAAAATGGATACACTTGACAATCAGACTATTATTATTATTATTACTATTACCAAAGTCTTGTGTGTGTGAAATGATGCAAATTTTATATTCCAGGTCTATGTCCGAGATGATGGTTGACTACGCGAGGGAGCAAGCCGACACGCAGTCCGAAGTCTCCGCTGGAACATTGCTCGGCCGGTATTATGACGATGACAGCGACAATGAACAGCCCTTCAACCAAAACTCGTGAGTAGTCGTGATTAATTATACAGAATTTTTTTTTATGGAACAAGAGTGACAAACAAGAACACAGTCCACCTGATGGTAAGTGGTTGCTGTGACCCATAGACATCTACATCTAACCTCGTTTGCGAATCAAAATGCAGATGCGTTGTCACCCGTGAGGACTAAGATGGAATGCCTCTTTTCCAGTAAAAAGGGTCTCCGGTCCTTTACACTAACCATACGAAACACAGCAGCATTAATCTAATATTTTACGCTGGTATTCTGTGAGAGCGTGGCCCTTCCCGGTCGAGCCGACCCATTCGTGCTACAACTATACTATTAATATAGCTGCGGCATTGCTCTACCACGTATATTAAAATAAATCATAATTATTATTAAAAATAATCATATATATTATGTATATTATGTAAAAAGAATCATATATCTTATTTTATAGATACCGCTTACGACCCCCTACAGGACAAAATGACGTGGTGGATTATTTTAGGCCGCCAGCACACGGCAACTGTAAAATATTATGGAACGGAAAATGTCAAATAGTTCACTCCCTTCGAAATATAGCGTTTTATCTACCTTGCGTACACCAGGCGTAATGCCCCGTACAACGAGGAGCAGAGTCAGAGAATACACGACGTTAACATCAAGTTTACGTTTACATTACGTTTGCGTAAAGATTATAGATTCTCATTAAAATCTAATACGTATTTATTAACATTCAATATAAGCCTCCTACAAACATTACTTCATAGTTGCTGCGGTTGGCAACCGCCGTTTATTATTTAGAGCTATTATCGGAAAAATGGTGCTGTCTCATGTTTAATTTCACTCTGTCGCGTCTTACGACACCCACGGGACGATATGGGGTATTACGTAGGACACTCAATAAGTTTTAAGATATAAAAACAGTATTCTAGACACTATTTATATTTATTTTAGATCTTTTCAAAATATTAACCATCATGCTCTATACAAAGTTCCATTCGCCTAAACCAACTCTGAAAACACTTTTGCCAGTCTTGATCTGACAGGTCGGAAATCGCTTCCTCGTAGGCAGCCACGGCTTCTTCGGCCCTTGAAAAAAACATGCCTTTTATTTTTTCTTTGACTCTTGGGAACAAAAAGAAATCACGAGAAGCTAAGTCAGGGCTGTAGGGTGGGTGACAGAGTTTCAACACCAGATTCCTCAATAAATGCTTTTGTTCTAAGGGAGGAATGTGAAGATAGGTTATCGTGATGTAGCATGATTCCCCGGAAAGTCCGGTCTATGGTCTTCCCCATAGCTTGGAAAGCTTTGGTAATGGAACTGTAGTATACCATTCAGAGTTGACTGACCTACAATTTTCCAGCATTGACGGTTTGGATTGGTCTACAAATGTCCGCTCCGCGAAAAAAACTAGCCACCATTATTTTGCCGACGTTGCGTGGTCTTTGCAGTTCTGTCGGTAACTGTCCTTCTGAGTAGACCCATACCGATAATTGTCTTTTATTTTCCGGATCATATTGATAGATCCATGTCTCGTCACCAGTAACTATTTCTGCAACACGCCTAGATGGCCCGTTTTCAAAACGTAGACGCATTTAATGGCACCAATCCACACGATTCTCTTGTTCGCTTTTTGAGATCAAACGAGGGATTCATCGACAACAATACTTCCTCACTCTAAGATGTTGATGTAGGATGGTATGAATGGTCTCCGAACGAATGTCTACAATCTTTTCGATGTCCGTATATGTGATTCGTGGGTCTTCTCGCACCAACATTTCAGTAGTCCGTACATTTTCTGCCATTACTGGTGTTTGCGGGACCCCGGTTCTTTGGTCATCTTTAAGATTAATTTTACCCCTTTTGAATTCAGCAAACAACCTTAAAATTGTTGCGCGTGATAAAGCTGAGTCCCTTAATGTAGATTGTAACCTTTGTAAACTTAATTGTTCGGTTAAACCAAATTTAAAATCATAATATATCATAGCGCGCAAATGTTCACGGTTAAGATACATCGTTTTAAATAAAAAGCGCGGGAAGCGTTGCAGGAAAATTAATAGAAATTTGTTTTTTTTTAATATTGAGCAATTGGCTTATGGAGTGCTGTTTTTAAATAAATTTGATTTTTAGAAACATGGGTGCGTTCCATTTTTAAATTTCGAGCATCTCAAAACTTATTCAGTGACCTACGTATTGTTATACTTCCACTACATGGCGCATTTACTTATTAAATAGTTTTATTTATTTCAACATGTTATTGTTATTTTCGTTAACAGATCCTGGTCACGCCATTCACTGAACCGTTCCATCAGCCAGCCATCTCTAGCGCGTTCCAACACTGAAGTCATGGAACAGTGGACCGCGCCCGAAGGTGACATCACGCCCACGCCGGGACGCCGAATTAGAGGTATTTTTATTATGTATTTGATATTTTTGTCTTTGATGTAATGAAATTTTATTGCTATCATTTTTTGTACTCGGTAGTATAGAAAATCATTGTAAGGATAATAATTTCTTATATTTACGCGAACAGTACAGATTTGAATGAAACTAGGTTTTTACGGATTTTATCTCGTTTATATATATATATATATATATATATATATATATATATATATTATAACTTTTTATTATATTTATATATTACAACTTATATTATATTCTCGACGTTTTGAGCACTTTACAGCACCCAGTCACGGGAGGACTGAGATGTTTGACGTCCCAATGTCGTAGTTAACCACATCAACTTTAAGTTTAAAATTAATAATTATTGGTCCGATCTATGTAGAACGAGCTTATAGCATCTTGAAATCTTGTAGTTGTATGCTTGGGCTGGGATTTAATTTTATTAATTACAGCATCCCAAGCAGATGGTACCACCCAGCCATCTTCTCTTTTGAAATTAGAATGTTTTTTTATTTCATGAAAAACAAATACTCTCATTCAAACATCGCAAGGATGTTTATAAAATATTGAATGAAATGGCACTATTTAGCGCAATACACTATTAATAACTAAACATTTTTTTTCTTCAGGTCCTCAAGGATTGACAACGTTCACATCATCTGAAGTGCGAACATTCCAAGCATCAAGAGAGTGGCGCGAATAAGCAACGTTCGCGAACTTTCCACAGACTAATAAAATGCAATAATCGAAAATAAATAATAATAATTGTAATATGTAAAATTAAACAAAAAAAATATTCTCGACGTTCTTTTATAACGAATACGGAAGCTTTACTTTTGTCATGCGAGGAAGGTTAATTTTCATTCAATTCCTTTGTGTAATTAAGTTAGATCAGATATACTCATATTAAGATAATAACAGACAGAAACTTGCAAAATTTACTCAAAAATAGCTTGTTGAAGTATATAGCATAAGATTTATATTCGCGGCGGCAGATGTAAAGTACTTAGGGATGATCGATATACTATAATTTGATGTTACGAACGGTATTCATATCGATGTTTTTGCACCTGATATCCATTGATCATCCTTAATTGTGATTTATTTTTAAATGGAAATATTGCCAGTTATGTACGTAATATCTATTTTTATGAGAATATCTAGTATGTTTAATCGATATATTTTCACTGCCACTTGAAAATGACGTACTATATGTAAGACTTAGAATTGATTTTATTTCATGCCTATTTACTAATAGAATGGAATAAGGTATAGAATATTTTAAAACGATTCCGTCCACTTGTGATTTATCTATTTTAAATAGTAAGTATATTAATCAACCAATCTTATCGTTCCAATTTCAAATTGACCAATCATTAGAAGCCATACCATTATTAGTGATTTAGTAAATTGGTCAGTTCATAATACTTTAAGTGCTTTCTTTTAAATCAACCCAAATTAAGTGAAAAATTACATAGTTGACATTTAATGAAACTGACCGGTAATACACCTTTACTTAACTTAGGACAAGATTGGTTAATTTGAAAATGATTATTTCGTCAGGAATTAATCAATTTCTTCCTTATCTCAAATAATGTATAGTATAGAATTATACTAATAGAAAATTCTTTAAATACCATAGATTTATGAAGATTTTCTAATAATATAATGTAAGATTACGATACTTATATACAATTTACAAGATTGTAATGCTTTCGCAATATTACTAACCATGTGCCAAAACAAATATCAATAATACGTGACTTTCTAAGGACATGACCACTGATGTAAAACATTTTTATATATATATATATATATATATATATAATCTTTATTCTTATTGTTATACTCGGAATTAAGTTTATTAAAAGATAAACGCTTTTACACTAAGTACCTAATTCTATGGTGCGGGTGCCATTATTTCGAAAAATGTCATATCCGATCACCCAGATGTGGAGCTAATTCCGAAGGCCATATAAATTATTGTACCCACATGGAAAACGAACTTGGTACTCTTAGCTTAGTGACAATACGACTACCAATAATCAATCTGGGTTACATTAATAGATTATATTTTATTTGTACATAAAAGTTTCATTTATTTTGATGGGATGTTTAAAAAACCTAGCAGCTAAGGCAAGACGTGTTATATGTATATTCAAATTTATTATCTGTGACGTAGATAATGTAAAATTGATTATCTGCGTGAACAGTAAATTTATTCTCTTGCCTTGGTCGCTATGTGAATGAATCGGGATAGAAGGGTTTGCGAAGAAAGTGCTCAATAAATGGTTGTAGTATAATTCTGTTGACAAATTTTAACTTGTACTATAAGGCAAAGCTGTACTTACACTTCCTTAAATCTATAATCTAATTAATATAAACAATGCAAATAGTGTAGTTGATGAACGTGATATAATATTATCACTTTTAATGAACTTTGTTAGAATATTCCGAAGGTAACCGAATTAATGGGTAAAGAGGTGCTAAAAATTATGAAATTTTGAGACAAAAACATTCTTGCTTTGATAGTAGTTTAAACGATGAATTTGTTTAAGTTAACCTTGACATTTATAATCAATATACCTACCTATCTTAACAATTTTACTGTGTTTTATTTCTTCTCGCATATAGAGTATTCTTCATCATATTATTAACCCCGTTATATCAGGGTGTGGAATCTTTTTTTCATCTTTATCGGCCTATAAAAGTTCACTGCTGGATGTAGGCATCTCCCGTTGTATGGAGATTTTGACTTTATAGTCACGCTATACGTGTAGTACGTGATAAGATGTTGTGTTCTATGCTTCCAAACATTGCCCAGTCGAATTAGATCCCGAATGACCTCATAGTAGAAGGTTATTTTTATTATGTTTAACATTGTATTATGCATGCATGCATGTATTATAGTATATTTATCGTCACACTTTGCAGGCGGAATGACGAGTCGTACATTACCAAACGTCTCATATAATTGACACTACTACCCATCACCAGTCTATTTTACAATACAGGCGTAGAATATAGGATTATATTCAATGATATTTTGAATATCATCGACGGACTTAAATTGAGCAGGAAATATTTTAGTATCACAGGTAAATGCGTATTGACGCGACTAGTTCCTATTTACTTTTTTATTTAATATAAGCACTGGGCTTGACTTCAATCCCTCCTGGAAGTAAGTCGTGATGTAGCCCTAGGTAAATCGTACTTTCTTAGTGTAATAAAAGCGTTTTCACTGTCTTAAAGACATACTGTTACCCCAGCGAAAGATGCTTAACAAATAATTTCACTTCTCTCCTATACATATAATAAAGGTAGAAGACGTTTGGTTCGAACCAGTAAATGCAAACAATTTTATTGAGTAAGTGTTGTAAACGGCCACCACGACAAAAATCAGAATAGCTTTCGATAGATTCTTGACATTCTATTAAAAACCAATTTCTGAACAAACGCCTACATCTATTACTTCATAATGGGGTATATTCGCTATGGTTGCTACACTGGGCATTTATTGGCAATCACAGTATTTTTTATTAAGTTGTTACCAAGAAGATGCTGCTGCCAAACTCCTGTATCAGTTTCCCCCTATCGCGTCATACACTTGACACCCACGGGATGACATGGAGAAATATATTCTCTAAACCCGCCACTAGGTACACTACATTCAGATAGATGATATACAATCTCCAATACCTCAGTAGTGAAAAACCGGACAAGTGCATGAAGCAGCATTAAAGGTTCGAGGCATTTAGACAAAGGTGACAACTATGTCAAATATACCCTGTATCGGGCTAATAAAGAAAAAACGAAAAAAATGTTACGATCATGCGCTAAATTTTGAAACCAAAGAGTGTCAAAAGAATGGGAACAAGTATACCTATGTACTAAAACTAGTTTAATCCATTTCATTTTGACAAGTGTATCAAAGTTATGGCGGGAATTTTATAATAAATTTACTAACTTATTAACCAATGCTATATATTACATATTTAATATATCTTTTTTATGTGGTTATAGTCCCATCTACGCAAGTGTAACTTTTATTTAACTGTCTGTGAATATATTTATATAATATATCCTATCTGTGTTTTCACACAGTCATAGGTTTGGTGTTCTCCAAGGGCACCATTTAGGTCCATTTCTGTTAAAACCATTTGCAATATTATTCACACTTATAAAATACATTACATAGAGTGACGAGCTGGTAAAAATGTAGTCGATGGATGCAATTGGCTCAGAACTGTGAGGTCTATGTTCAGCAGTGCACTTGAAAAGGGCTGTAATGACAATGACGTAAGAAATTCAAAAGAAATTAATACAAAACAGTTCAAAGAAATGTTGCAACGCACTACGAAGAATTGAATTATGCAACAAAATTCTCGATTAGATACTACTTGTAATATTAAAATATCAAAGAATATTACCACAATTTACTGAAGAAAGATAAAATAGTGTTAAAATAAACTTAAAGTTAAAATAAAATGGAATTATTGAATACCCTAACAACAGCCTTCAAGAATTTTTGCTGGTTCTTATATTATGTTCGAAAAGGTCTTTTTTCAAATAGCAGTTCTGAATTTAAATAAACCTGAACTATTTTCGATTCTGATTTTTGAGATGAAACATTATTTAAAAGTGAAACATTATTATAACTCGAAAGATTAAATAACATTAGCTTGTGCTATGCCACATCGCATACATATACAAAGTACAGACACATACCAGGATTGTTTGTTTTGTATTATGTTGTACTTTTGTCGATATCCACCATCCATGGTGGCAAGAAAGAATAATACTATAATAAGTATTAAGCAAAACAAAACTTTAGAGAAACGAAAAGATTTTATTTTGTTTTGATTTGAAATCAGTTACAAATAATTTTGTTAAAAGATCCCATTTTCTATCTAAATGCACAAATTAATAATAATATGTAATAAATTCGACGACTAAATACGAATAAAAGTTTTCGCTGCATCTCGAAAATATGTTCTATTTCTTAGACTTATTAACATTCGTTTCTTGTTTGTTTGTAATAATAATGACATAAAATATTTAATACAGGTGTGTAGAGATTAAGCAATATGGTCTAAAATTGTGCAACATAGATATTAAATTACTTTAAATGTAACAAAACAAATTATGAGTTATCTATAGCGTGAAATCCTGTGACACCTAGATAACAATGAGTTTTTTAAAAACTAGTTTACAATAATCGTTCAAATTGTCAACAGCGTCGCACAAAAAGTAGCTAAAATATTTTTTATTTATTTTACAAAGATATCAAGCATCTTATCGTGTGCTTTTCTGTACATCTAGTATGAGAAACTTAAAATTTTGCTTTTATATTACATACAACAACATTAGGCCTTACGATTCAATTACTATCTAATGACAGTGCCTAAAATACGAGTAACAATTAGTAGTTCTAACTACGATATGAAGTAAAGTCGAGAGGTCCCTTTCGTCACTGTATTTGGCAATTCCTTTCATATCCTTGACACGATTTGGCATCCTTTATTTGATTCTTACCATCGTTTTAACGTAGAACTGTATAAATATTTTAATAGTATTATAATAAACAGTCTATATCGTCAAAGCTCACAAATCTTCGTTCCCATCAACGTTTTCTCACTAACCCTTAATTTTTTTAGTTACACCAATTCAATTGTCTACAATTTCATCGTTCTCTATATCTACAATGTCTTAGTTTTTTTGTATTATTTGAACTCTTCATAACAGTTTCACTTTATTGATTTTATATTTGACTGATGGAGCCGCAAGACTGACGTCTTCTATTCACTTGCTTCCAGAATCTTTTCTCGAGATGTTTCTCCTGTAACAATATTACATTAGAGAAAAATCCACATGGCAGTTTTTCTCTGTTTTGCATCTGAATTTTCTATGTTGTTGAGTAATAAAAGAGTTGAACAATATATTTAACGTGTGGGTTTAAAAAAAATTAAGATCTACGGTACTATTAGAGCTTAAACGCCTTACATTTCATTGGGCAACTAAAAGTCAACGTGTTTGAGATATAAAAGTGATATTTATATCTAATCTATCAAAGTACTACTTGGAAAAATTTAGTAGTGAAATGTCAGGAAATAGTGTTGTAGAAAAGGGAAGGGGAAGCTAAAGCAGCGGGGGTGAGTGAAAAGCGCAAAGAAATTTTATTAAAAATATATTTCCATGAACCCTCGTTCTGAATTAAATGGACAGTTCAATAGAACAAAAAGTGTTATCGAAGCTGGATTTAAATTTTTAATTTAAGCAATGAACAATTGACATTAACATTATAGCGCTCGATATTCTTACAAAGAGTAACAATTTTAGCAAATTTAATACTTAAGAAAAACTTTCAGTTTTTAAACATGTTAGTAATATTACTTTAAAACATTGTACTTTTATAAATAACAATAACGTTTTAGATCTAAAAATGGTATATCCAAAAGGCAAACTTGGCCAAGTTAAATTTAGATTAAAATTTAGATTAGTTCTACAGCACTTTAATTAATAACTATTATTTCATATTTCCCATTACAAATGTCCTTTATAGACACAAAGAATAGAATACATAGTTTCACTTTATTGACCATATAGTTAGGTTAGGCTATCTATGGAAAAAAGTTTTGGTTAAATAATTTCACTAATAAAGTGAGTCTTCTATCAAATCCACTAATAGTTACATCTATTTAGATATATTGTCATTTATTATTTCACGTCGACTAAAATGAAGCTTACCATGTGAATCTACAACTACATTTTCTTAAGAGCACAATGTAACCATGCACTCTATTCCACTGTGTCTATGTTATTTTAAAGCTTTTGAAGTAGATGAGCCAATATATCGGGGTCTCCTTTAAATCCAGCTGATTGGCACAGGGAGCACATGGACGCAGCAAGGACGGATCAACACGAATGACAGAAGGCAGCCTTCATTCTGATGTAACCAAAATAATGGGTAAATCCTGATCAGGACACGGTACGAGTATTTCCCTAGCCACGCTCATGCGCAAAAGCTTATGTGCGCGTGCGATGTTCACACAGAGCCATTGACAAAGCAAATCTTGTAATAGCCGTGGTTGCTCACGGTCGTGCGACGTGGCGAGAACGGTCGCTCAGTGCCTGTCATAAAGGGCTCTCGGCGGGGGCTATCGGAAGATGCTCGGCGGCGAAGGAAACCCAATCTGTAAACATAAGTATTGTAATTATAACGATCATCCTCTAAATGGACATGGCCTGTTCTTATTAACGACATTCTCTCCGTTCAGTAGTAATTTTTTTCTACAGAAAGGAGGAGTTGCAGTTATACTTTGCAGGAAGGTTGACGTTCATAATACTAGACGTCTTTATAAGGTATAATTTTATTTTTCTTAAAAAACAACGTTACCTCCACACTAGGATTTTTTTCTGTATCGTGGAGGCAGTTTACAAACAAATTGCACAAGGACAAACATCCAGACTCGAAAGAAGTTATTTGTAGGCCATACAAATACTTCTTCCGTGCGGGATTCTAACCTGCACGAACGGTGCAACTCATTGCTAAGCCACTGCGATATGGAGTCATTTTTAAATATATAAAATAATACCTTGCAAAAACAAAACATCTAGTCAGCATAGGTTTTGATATTATAATATACTTAACACATCAAATGCTTTTTGTTGTCCACATCTAGGAAAACACATTTTAAGAATTTTTTTTTTATTTACAATTTTACATAATACTTAATTTTATCTACAATATTAAAAACTATGATAATAAAAAAAAAAAAAAAAACTAAAACTAGAAACGTAATTATCATATAGTCCTACTCCCCGCGGTATCGTGCCAAGAACGCTGGCTGCGTTTCCCCGCTGAATGGCTATACTTAGCCTTTGAGCGAGGAAAGAACCAGCCCTCTTATCACCAGCAGCAACGACTAGCCGCGGATGGAGTTCCTTTAGGAACTTCACCGCACGTGGACCCCACGGACCGATAGTCTCTACAGCAAATGGCACAAATATGTAGTCATCTCTCAGAGACTCATATTTGCGCCACTTACTCAGTTCAGCTGCCTCAGATGCCGCCCCGGCTTTAAACGAGGTACCCCTGAGATGAGAGGCCGCCAGAGTGTCTACGCAAGTAGCATCCCACACTAGGGCTTTACCTCTCTCCCAAGGGACCAATGTCATACCGTCGGGTCTCTTGCCATCGTCTCTAAATATTCCACAAGGCTCTAAAACCGAGGGAACATTTATAGAGGCAAGAGCCCTTCGGATGACATCGTTCAAAGAACTGTGTCGTGAAAACCTACCAGCGCTTTTCTTACATGAAAGTCCGTGGAGCCCAAACTTGTCGACGCTGCTACCACAGGGGCATTGATGGGGTTGACAAATCGCTGCTCCTAGTCGGATTCCTACGGCAATACGCAGGCTTTCCCTATCAAGTAATGTGCCGAGATTACTTGATGGTAAAGCGTGTAACCAGTGACTAGATTCCTTAGTCGAAACAGCTAGAAGGCGTGCCTTATCTTGGTCACTATGGAAATTATGAAACAAATCTTTCTGCACGCCCTGTACCAACGGAATATCCCACTGTTTTTGTTGGTTAACTTCCAGTGGAATATTTTCACCAGGACAGAGCGTTTGCCATGTCTGCCCTGCCTCCGTAGCAAAGCATAGGTCTACTTTATTATTTAAAATTATGTTACATAAGTCACTGACACTATGCACGGAAGCAAGGAAAGCAGGCAATGCAACGCTAGAAAGATTTCTCACACCAATGCCACCAAATTTTATAGGTAAAGTAGCTTGAGTCCAGGCTGTTGTATTTAAAGTTAAATTTAGAATTTTTTCTATAGCAATTTTAGGATTATTATCAATATCTTGTAAAATATCCGAACATTTCCAGACTGGACTCGAGCGGAGTAAGTATGTAAATCTAGGTACAAGAAGACAATATTTTAAAATAGTAAGAGCTATGTGGGGGTTTAATTTATACAATTTATCAACGTGGTTTAAAAACTGATCAAATTTTGTTTTTAAAACAGGTTTAATACTATCGAAAAACAACGGGGCACCTAGCAGGTATAGTGATTCCGTATTGACAGTTTTTATTCCTGGACAAATATGATTAAAATTTTGAATTAAAGTGTCTCTATGAGAAGTAGATAAATTATTGGAAAAAAATATTTCACATTTATTGCTATTTGGTTCAAGGCCAATATTTTTAAAATTTCGAAAAATATGAGTAAGATCGCTGAGGACGTCATCTGCTCTACCTCCCAGTGTACCGTCGTCTAGGTACCAGACATTCAGCTTGGATTTCAAATTTGAAATAATGGGTTGAATTCCCAAACTGAAAAGTGCTGGACCCAGAGGGTCACCCTGCTGAACACCAACAGCAGAATCGATAACATGGTTTTCGTAAAACAAGTTAGTATTTTGACTATAACATTGCCAAACGTAATGATAAATTTCGGGGGTATTGTTAGCCACTTCTTTCAGCAAGGTTACCCTATCGATAGAGTTAAAAGCATTCCTTAGGTCAACCTTCACAAGAACATCTGCATCAGAGTTTGTTAAAAATGTACGCACTGAATGTACCGCCGCCTCACAGCCACCTCTAGTGCCAAAACCTAGTTGAGTAGGCTGAAATTTGGTCTTAAGGTTAGAGATTATGTACCTGCAAGCTAATTTTGAAGTTAAGCGTCGAAATGTGGAACCAACGGCAATAGGACGGATACCGTTATCCTTTTTTTTGAAGGCACATAATCTTGCCCCATATAAGAATGGAATGAAATTTGGATTAACATTACCAGAAAGCATAAAGTTACATAATTTTGTAATGTCTTTAAGAAGTACTCCGCCGGCGTCACCGGCAGAAGCGCTTACAAGATCTTTAAGATGTTGAGGCGTAATTCCGTCAATGCCGCCAGCAGAGCCATTCGAAAATGACATAATTGCTTCTAAAGTGTCTTTTTCCGAAATTTGTAAAGGTTGCATAGAAGTCTTGGGAGGCAGCGGTAAACCCTGAGACGGTTTGACCGAAGGATGCTTCTGACGAAGGCTTTCAAGAGTTTCGACATTACGAATGCTTCAATATTATTTAAAGGATATTAATTGTTATTTAACACTGGCTTGTATTGTTTTTTTAAAGGAGGAAAAAAATGAGACGAAAAAGATTTAAAAACCATCGAACTCAAATGGTTAATGCAGTATTTTTTTTCTGTGCGCGCCGGTAACGGTAGCGCGGCGATTTAGTGCTTTATTTAGTCATTTTATATTTGAAAGCGGAAAGATTTATAGGAGGATTATTCTTTCAACTATTTATCCAAGTGCTAACCTAGCCTGCATGTTGTCATTGCTATTGGGGGGGGGGGGGGGTTACGACTCTTTTTCTGTCCAGGAGTCTGTAAGTATTGCATAGTGCACTGCTTTGTTCCGGTCCAAACGGTATGTAGAGCGACTATAATTGCAGGATGTAAGGCATACATATATAAACTTCTTTATTTAAAGATGGTTATAGATGTCTTTGGACTACAGTAGCTATTTACCAGCAGGTGGACTGTAACTTCGTAAATTACTTTAATTTTATAAGAAAAATGTAGTGCTCCCAAAAACTAAAGAATGAGGCTTAATCATCAATCCAAACGTTGTAAAAGAAAAAGATTTAGAAGAAGAATTTGAGGCTATCTGGAATACATACATCGTCCCGTTCTGGCATTGAGAGCGCGTCCGCGAACGCATCGTCTGAGCTTCCACTCGTGCCAGTTGCTCCATCTCCATAAGTTTCTCGCTTTCTGGAACTGATCAAAATACACTTTTTAATTTTTGATACACAATAATACAGTTTCCTCTGTTGACACAGTCTTCGCAGATAAGTAAAATAAAATTAAATCACTTTAGTTTTCAACGTGATAAATTAAAATTTCGTTGATAAAACGTGGTTTTTTTAATGTACTAGAGCTTCAAAATCAGAGAATCATCGTTTTTACTATTTCTTATATCAAAAAGAAGTGTTTTCAAATCGGATCAAAGATGATCTCTTATAAACGTAATCATTATCATTACATTTCTTCAAAAGTCCACTGCTGAACATAGGTATCCAACAAGGAATGCCACAAAACACGGTCCTGAGCCACCTGCGTCCATCGGCTCTTGCATGTGTCACCAGTTCGTCACTCCATCTAGTTTGGAGGGGGAGGGGGGGGGGGGGTAACCAATGCAATAAACGTAGTTTATAACAGTAAATGTTATTGTCAAAAACACCAAAACTTATGCCGTGTAATAATTTCACCTTACATTGTTGTACATTATATATTAAGTGCGTGCTGTGAGGCGTTATATATATAAATCGTACACGAACAAACAGGGTCTAGCCCACAAATTATTACTTAAATTCTGCCATTATGATATGCTTTGTGGCATTTAATAATTAAATTTTTAATTTTGTAGTACTACGCTACAGCCTGCAGCTATATTATAGTTGTTGTACGAATGCTGGGCTAGACCGGAGAAGGTCCACGGACATAATACCAGTAATAAATATAGCAGCTTAATGGCATTTGAGTTTAGAGTGGTCCATCAGAGAGTCCCACCTACTCAAATGGCCCAAGAGGTAGATCACGATTAACGCATTCGCAGAAACGACTACTGGGATAATTTCGGTCAACAGACCACCCCATATCTAACTCGTAACTTTGAGAACCTGTTCCAGAGAGAAGTCCTGATATTTTTTCTATTTATCCATTTATATCCCTTTTTTAAAAAAAAATCTGTTTCTTTTTATAGAATAAGGGTCACAAACTGACACACAGTACACCTCCCACACAGTACACACCCTAAGAAACAGAGCAGCATTAAGCTGCTATTTTATTCTGGTATTCTGTGAGAGCGTTCTTTCCTAGTCCAGCCGGCCCTACGCAGGACACAATACAATAAAATCACGTGTTTGTCACATAGTGCGAAGAAACGATGCATTAATAAACACTCGTACCGTAGCCCGTTACTAAGTTGCTGTTTGTGAACACCTTGTTTGTATAAGGTCCTGTGTTCGAATTCCGGTTCAGGCCAAATATCAGTCAATTGTTTTTTTTTGTCAAGAAAGTTTCAGTAGCAGCCTAGAGCCTCGGAAAGTACGTAAAGCCTTCGGTTCTGCGGCTTATCTCTCTACGGTCGTGTCAGATTGTCGACCAGACAGTTCTGAATCGGAAAAAAACACTATAGCTACTCCATTCCGGTCCGCCGGATTACTTACGTTTCCATGCATATACAGAACTGCGCGAAGTAGTATGAGGGGCGGTGCGGCGCGGGTGCGCGCGGCATAGGGTCACCGCGTCGGCGCTCGCTACGCGGCGCAGCAGTGACCGCTGACACGCCACGCGAAACGACCAGGGGTCGGACCCGCCACCCTGACAACACTACACTAGCTGCTCACACCAAAGAAGGAAAAGGAAGCGACAGTAATGATTTCTTATGTATACGCAAATACTATACACTAAATGAAACTAATTTTACGTATTTTATCGCGTTTCATTTTAACTTTTTAATTCCCGACGTTTCGGGTGTTTATAGCACCCATGTTCATGGGAGAGACTTAAGTGTTTTACGTCCTGATGCCATAAACAGAAACAGAAACAGAAACTTTTTTATTAAATATAGATTATAAACAATACTTATTGGAATTCACTCTTTTGTTTAATTACCACTGGTTCGAAAAAAAAACCTCTGTCCTGGGAAGAACCAGCAAGAAGCCCAACGGAAATTTTTTAATCAGCTTACTATCATGTATGTTACACAATAAACAACACAATAAATTAGAAATAGTTTGGTAGCGATCACCTCATTCCTAGAGGTTATTATCATCCATAAATTCCTTAATATTATAATAACCCTTTTTTTTAAGTTAGTTTCTTTTCTTAGTTTCTTAGTTTTCTGAACTTTGAGCAGGTCTAATTTCGTATATTTTCTGGGATTTTGTTATAAAAGCATACGCATTGCCCCAACAATGAATTACTGACTCGGTGGAGTCGAGTAACTGGTACTACTAGCTGTGTCTATTCCTAGTATTTACAGAAAGGATGACACTTATTTTTGTAAAACTAATTTAACTACCCCATATCCTCCCGTGGGTGTCGTAAAAGGCGACAAAGGGAAACAGGCAGGAGATGGGCAGCAGCATCTTCCTGATAATAGCCAAAATTACATTAAAAAAAAAAAACTGCGGTTGCCAACCCGCTCGCCAAGCGTGGCAACTATGGCAAATACCCCCCTATGCATGTAACAAAGAGACGGCCCCCAGTCCCCGGCGGCCCCGCTATTCCTGGCTACGGTGGCGACCATGGTAACGGCGGGGCAGGGGGTGCTAAGAATCTCCGGTGGAGGTTCGGTTGCCACCTTAGACGACTCGACCTGGCAACGTACAACGCACGCACCCTGAGGACTGACGAGAAGATCGTGGAGCTGGAAGAAGAGATAGACAAGTTGCGCTGGCATATTATAGGATTATCCGAAGTCCGAAGAGAGGGGGAGGACACGGTAATCCTCGAATCCGGCAACTTGCTCTATCACCGGGAGGGCGACCATCTGTCCCAAGGAGGTGTCGGATTTATCGTCCACAAGTCTCTCGTTAACAACGTTGTAAAGATCGGGAGTGTGTCGACGAGGGTTGCGTACCTTATACTCAGAATCACCAAACGGTATTCGCTGAAGGTCATACAGGTTTACGCACCAACCTCGGCACACCCCGATCAGGAGGTGGAGGAAATGTATGAGGATATCTCTAGAGCCATGCATTCCTCCAAAACCCAATATACGGTGTTAATGGGAGACTTCAATGCAAAACTAGGCACAAGAGAGAACGGTGAGCTGAAAGTAGGGAAATTTGGAATAGGGCAACGGAACCCAAGGGGCCAGCAGCTGGCCGACTTCATGGAGAAAGAGGGACTCTTTATGATGAACTCTTTCTTCCAGAAGCGGCCCCACAGGAAGTGGACCTGGTCGAGCCCCGACGGTTCGACAAAAAATGAGATTGACTTCATTATGACGACCAGACGACAACTGTTCAGTGATGTCTCCGTGATCGCGAGGGTGAAAACTGGTAGCGATCACCGAATGGTTAGAGGCACACTGAACCTAAACGTTAAGTTGGAGAGGTCTCGTCTAATGAAGTCAACGCTCCGTCCCCCTCGTGCTCTGTTCCAAAGTCCCGAAACCTTTCAGCTCGAGTTACAAAACCGTTTTCAGTGCCTAGAAGACTGCAATGAAGTGGACGATATGAATGACAAGCTCGTGGAAACTGTCCATGCGGTCGGAGCTAAGTTCTGCAAGACCCGCCGCAGAAGAACACAAAAACTCTCCGATCACACTCTTAATCTCATGGCTGTTAGACGGGAGATGAAACTACATTCTTCAACAGACTTGACAGCATACAGGCATCTGAACAGACAGATCTCCAAATGCATGCGGCGGGACTTACGCAACTTCAATACAGCTCGTATTGAAGAAGCGATCGAGCGGAACCAAGGCTCCAAAGTCTTTGCCAGAGATCTGTCTGCCAGAAAGAGCCACCTGTCAAGGCTGAAGACAGAATGTGGCAGCATCGTATCCGGGACACCTGAGATTTTGAGTGAAATTGAGAGGTTCTATGGGCAGCTGTACACGTCATCGTTGGAGCCACACGCAAGTGTGAGTAACGATCCAGAGCGAGTCTCATCCGACACTATTCCGAAGATATCCCGGACGTCAGTCTGAGCGAGATTAGAATGGCTCTCCAGCACCTTAAAAACGGTAAGGCCCCAGGCGACGATGGAATTACAGCGGAGCTTCTGAAAGCGGGTGGAAGACCGATACTTGAAGTCCTTCAGAAGCTCTTTAATTCCGTCCTCCATGGTGGCATCACACCGGAGGCGTGGAGCAGAAGTGCGGTGGTCTTGTTCTTCAAGAAAGGTGACAACGCTCTCTTGAAGAACTACAGACCGATTTCCCTTCTGAGCCGCGTCTACGTGCTGTTTTCGAGAGTCATTACGAATCGTCTCGCGCGCAGACTTGATGACTTCCAGCCTCCCGTACAAGCCGGTTTCCGAAAGGGCTTTAGCACCATAGACCACATACATACCCTTCGGCAAATTGTACAGAAGTCCGATGAGTACAATTTGCCACTATGTCTGGCGTATGTGGACTATGAGAAAGCCTTTGATTCCGTCGAAATTTGGGCGGTGCTGCAGTCCCTTCAGCGGTGCCAAGTTGACTGTCGGTATATCGAAGTGTTGAAGTGCTTGTACAGTAGGGCTACGATGGCTATCCGAGTACAGAACCAGAGTACGAAACCTATCCAATTGCAGAGAGGTGTAAGACAGGGTGACGTCATATCCCCGAAACTCTTCACCGCTGCATTGGAAGACGTTTTCAAGCTTCTGGACTGGAAAGGATACGGTATCAACATCAATGGCGAGTACATCACTCACCTTCGATTTGCCGACGATATAGTCCTTATGGCAGAATCGCTGGAGGACCTAAGCACTATGCTCAATGACCTCGATAGTGTTTCCCAACGGATAGGTCTTAAGATGAACATGGACAAAACAAAGATCATGTTCAATGTCCATGTCACACCTATGCCGGTAGTTGTTGGGAGCACTAAGCTTGAAGTTGTTGACGAGTATGTTTATCTGGGACAAATAGTCCGACTAGGTAAGTCCAACTTCGACCGAGAGGTCAATCGACGGATTCAACTCGGCTGGGCAGCGTTCGGGAAGCTACGACACATCTTCTCGTCAGATATACCTCAAAACCTGAAAACGAAATTGTACAACCAGTGCGTGTTGCCAGTGATGACTTATGGAACTGAGACGTGGTCCTTCACTGCTGGCCGTATGAGGAAGCTCAAGGTCGCTCAGCGAGCTATGGAGAGGGCTATGCTCGGAGTTTCTCTGCGTGATAAACTTAGGAATGAGGATATCCGCAGTAGAACCAGAGTAACCGACATAGCCCAACGGATTAGTAAGCTGAAGTGGCAGTGGGCCGGCCATATAGCTCGAAGAACCGACAACCGATGGGGAAGAAAGGTTCTCGAGTGGCAGCCTCGTACCGGTAGGCGAAGTGTAGGGCGTCCCCCCACGAGATGGAGTAACGACCTGGTAAGACATGCAGGAAGTCGATGGATGCAGGTGGCTCAGGACCGTGCTTTGTGGCATTCTTTGGGGGAGGCCTATGTTCAGCAGTGGACTTGTGAAGGGCTGTAATGATGATAATGATGATGATGATGACTTTTATTTTTGTGTACGTATATTATATTTTCATAAATGTATTGAGAGGCCAAAGTTAATATATTAATTTACTTAAATTTTTGTCGCAGCGACTCTTTAGGCTTTAAATTATAAATTGCTCTAATGGCCCTCTTCTGTAAAACAAATATAATTTCAGTGTCAGCCACGTGTCCCCATAGCAAAATACCATACGACATTATGCTATGGAAATAGCTAAAATAAACTAGTCTAGCCGTTTCATCACTGGTAAGATTTCTAATCTTTTTTACAGCATATGCTGCAGAACTAAGTCTGCTTGCTAGTTTTGATATATGGGGGCTCCATTGAAGCTTCACGTCTAGTGTGTCACATCATTTAATTGTTTCATATTTGGAGTCATGAATTTCATACATTTAGGTTTAGTGTCATTTAAATGCAAATTATTAACATTGAACTAATTTAATAATTTAGATATAGCATTATTTACTTCGTCATATTTTAGTAATTGTCGTCTTAATTTGAAAATTAAAAAAGTGTCATCCGCAAGTAATACTATATCATGGTTATCCCCTACTATGTAAGGTAAGTCATTAATGTATACAAGAAACAGAAAAGGGCCGAGGATTGAGCCTTGAGGCACGCCCATTTGTACCATCGACCCGGAAGAACTCATACTGTTAATTAGTTCTTACACCGTAGTGTTGAAGTTTCCTGATTAATGTTTCATGGTGAACATAATCGAAGGCCTATCACAGAATATACCCAAAGCATCCTGTGAATTTGCCCATGCATTAAAGATCAAGAATTCATCAAGAATAATTTTTTCGAATATCTTACTAAGTACTAGTACAGAAATAGGTCTAGAATTAACGGGGTTTAATGTTCTACCAGATTTAAATAAAGGTATTATTTTACTATGCTTCATTAAATCAAGAAACACCAGATTCGATACTAATATTAAAAATAATAGCTAGATGAGGGGTGATTGTATCTATTATAGACGCAATAACTTTAACGGATTTCCCCCATAAATCTGCAGTTTTCTTAGTATTTACTATATCTTATGATGATACTTTATGGAATGTAAAATTCTTTGTACACGCATTTACATTTTGTTTAAGTCATGATTCGGCGACGGCCGTGGTAGCTCAGATGGTTAGCGCTCGCTATAAGCT